TTATATGAAGTGAACGACAACATTGTAGTACCAAAAAATACTGAAGTATTTTTTTCGACATATTTTATGCACCGAAAGGGTAAATATTGGACGGATCCCTTACGATTTAATCCTGATCGTTTTCTTCCGGGAAATTATGATCCGAAGTGTTTCATTCCATTTGGTTCTGGGAAACGAGTTTGTATAGGTAAGAGCGCATTATTATGCATTTATTATTTAGTTTCTAAACTTTTTATTGCCAAAGTATATGTCTTTTTAATATGACTTTCTTAGGTAAATTATTTGCCATGGCACAAGTGAAAACAATAGCTGCTAGTTTATTGAGAAAATTTACTGTTGAAATAGATAATCCAGTATCAGTTGAAAATGTCGACGTAAGCTTTTGCATTACTTTGAAACCAGCTGAAACTATACTTTTGAGATTTATCAGACGATAATATTTATTATTTTTGTCAGTACTATGTTCCGAATAAAACAATTGTAATAATTAATTTTTTTAATAAAAAATAAATTTTCAATACATAACATTTTCAATTTTTATTTAGAATATCAGTATTTGTGTTATTATCTATGAAATATACAATATTATCAATCAGAAAAAAAACACATTTGAAAATATTACATATTTTAACAAGTTAATCGTCGTTAAATTAATGTTACATTTATTTTATTTTTCTTTTCTATACAAAATATTTTATAAATTTTTATCTTGAACACATTGGATCTAACATTCATCAGTACACACACTCATGCGCTTATGCATATCAATTGGAAACGAAGAAAGTGCAAACATGGGCATATACGCTGAACGATTTTTATATATATTTTATTCCAGTTCTACTTTATCTATCATTTGAAAAATACTATTTATTAATTAATTACTTAGTACACAGACTTTCAGGTAAAGGACTTTAGTTTCCTAAAAAGATTTGTCTTCCTAACATAACAAAAATAAAATAAAAAAAGAATTATGTACCGATATGTAATTAATCCATACATAAATAGAATATTATTTCACCATAATCGAATCCCAATTCATGGTTGCTAAACGTCAAACCAAGACTCTGTTAGTTCAGTAAAGTCAGTTACAGATAAAAACGGTAACTAATCTAAAATCACAACCAACAACCAAATATTAGCCTATCATTCCCTTATTAGCCAATCATAAAACCTATTTATTAAAGTCTGTGTTGTTATAAATATCGTGTAAATTGTCTACATCTTGTTTGAATGTAATCGATAATTGATTTAATTGTGAATCGAATTTTTCGATACTTTAGAATAAAATTAAAATAGATAAGAACAATTCGGACTTGAACGTCTCGCCAATGAGAATTACACTTACATTGTTTCTTCATTATCTCATGTGACATTTTTGAAATGAAATATTTAATTTAGTGCGGGTCTAGCACGGGTGGGACAATATATAAATTCCTGTTAATGTTGTCGAGAATTACTACGTTATTCTAATTAAAAACTTGAAAACACGCGGTCCAACTTAAATTGTTCTAAAACATTAAATAAACATTTTAATAAGATTGAA